GTCAATCAGCTACGTGTCTAAATACTTTGCCTCCCTAAATCGCTTCCCCATTTTTCACATTTAATTATTATTCAAATTTACTAAGATTCCTTCTCTCAATATCACCCGGATATTCTACTTTGCGGTGCTAGAGATTAAATTTTCCTTTAATGGAATGTGAGTATACGTTGACTACATAGCAAAATATGTTAGTGTACTTACATATTGTGCATCACTACAGGATATTATACAATAAATGCGCAGGTTGCTTAAATAAGAATCTCTTGACGTTCCGTCAAACGCATTACAATGTTGCGAATTTAGTTGTTAGATTAAGCCATAACTCTAGAGCGAATATGAATCTATGAACCCTGCCAACGAGTGTTAACTTTAGGATAAGGAATAACCTGATGTTACGCATGAACGAATGATACTGAAGTACAAGAGACATAATGGTGCAGAGAAAGACTGTGGAAATTCAGCACATCAGTTTGGAGTAGACTTAATATTGCTTTAATATAATAAAAGTATATTCAACGATTTAACGAGAAGTACGTCACAATGCATGCGTAAGAAATGAATACATAACACAGTTCACATTGAGACGATTTGAAATAAAACCGCCGCAAGCGACAAAACCGAAGCGCGCGGTGGAGGAAAAGTAAATGTGAATATAAAACATTGGGTGCAGCTGGCTTAGTAGTCGATCTAGAGAAAAAATGCATCGTACGCTTCGAAGAATAAACCAGATGCCAATAAACGAAGTCCACAAATAAGAGTCTAAATTAATCACTAAAATAGTCATCCAGTGGATCCGCATCGATCAATTTAGCCTTTTTAACCCCCTGAACTTTCTTTCCTTTGATACCACGTTTTGATCCAATCGGTGTGACTGAAACTGGCTTTGGGGCTCTGTCTCTTAAGGTACGACCAGTCGTAGTGTCTGCGAGTTTAAAGTCCTTGCCAAGGAGAATCCTGGCTAAAAGAACCCACATTAATATCAAATATTAGAGAACAATTTCGTCTAAACAAACAGACCTTCCGCTATAGTTTTATCGACTGTTGTGCTCCTTTTGAATGACTGCTCGGACTTCTTGAGTTGATTGGTTATAGCTCGCACATCGCCCAGCTTTTCACCGGCCAGAAACTCTTTACCTGCCTATATGAAGAAGTATCACATTTATAAAGGGGCATATATATTTTTCGCACCTTAACAGTTAATGCCATTGTCGAATCACGGCAAAGAGATGGCTTATCAGCCATGTCTTTGAGAAAGTAAGGAAGTCGACGGATATGGCGACTATAAGACCTTCTTCGGGTCCGGGCTTAAAGAGAAGTTTAAAACAACTTATAATCATTTGGCACTAGGGTCCATTAATATAATATAAATGGAAAATATTTATTAATAAGCAAGATAAAAAATCGTATAATTTGTTGTATCTCTATTTTAGGTAAAGAATAAATTAAATGAATACCCTGCAACAATTGTAAGAATTAGAAATTACAAGCCATAGTGTTAACGTGGGACTTTTACAAGAATGATACCAAGCTCTGATGATGTCCATCATATGATAGACGAAAGCTCAGCACGTTTTCACCCGAAACGAAGGAGTAAGGCTCGTGTACTGCGTCAACATGAATTTCATATAAAAGCCAAACGGCTGCAGTATAGCAAGATTTATCCGTCCTTATTTGGTGAGATCGATCAACGAATCTCTTCTTCCTTCACTTTCATTCAAATGAAAGTCCCTTTAACAATACATCCTTCGTGACAGAACTTATTTTTTCATATGATCCTTCAATGATGCCGCATGTGATTTTGTTCTTTTTACGTTTTTTAAATGTATGCAATGCTTATGAAACACATGGGGTTAGAGAATGCAAACAAGGTTTGAGGCTAATCGACCCTAGTCGAGTTTCATCACTTTAGATAAAGTCCAAGAATGTGCTAGCCAGGAAAGTTAATTATCTACAGTTTTTAAAATTATGCTATTTCTGTAGAACGATTCATAACTGATCTCTTATTGATAAAGCAAAGATTCCTATAAGAATTAAGCAACTTCTTCTGAGATAATATCAAGAATTAGTTACTTTTAGAATTTAAGAAGATATCAGAAAATTACATTCTTTGA